AACACAATGGTACCTAATGGAAGGAAATGAAGTGACGAATGCAGGAACTTATGCATGCCATTGTTTGGGAACATAATACTCCCCTTTTCCATGATGTTTTGCTGCCTATGTTCTCAAGAAATCAAGTTGAGATACAGTGTATGTTGGCAGTAGAGCATTATCCACCATATTCAAGAATATTAATCAAACCTTTTGGTCCTAATTCACTGTAGCCTTTTGTTTCTTGTCTTACACTTTAGTGTGATACAGAAGGGTGTCCATGTGGTGCTTGGCTACATGAGACCTATAGTCTCCTCTGTTCGGACATTATGTCAGTGCCATAAGGCTCTGACGGTCTGAATAGCCATCCAGCCATTCTCTGGGTTGATAATGTGCAATGTTTGAAAATACTCCCCCTTATTACGGCTTTTTTAACTTCTGATTCTACATTACTTTAGGTGTAGAAAGTACGAAGAAAAGGAGAAAAGCAATGCAGAGGTCATTACAATAACCTCATCCTAAAGTATTCATGGATTGAAGCAGCCTTAATTCGTACCAGTGGTTGAACCCAAATCAACCAAAGGATCACTCATCACAGCTGTCTGTCCGTTGATCACTATCGTTACAGCCTTAGTAAAAAGGAACTTCTTTTCAAAAATAGTCAAAAACAAACAAATCAAAATTTGCCAAAAAATTTTTCCTCTGTTGTGGCTTATAAAGTTTAAGGAAAAATGGCACTGTCGAACTTTTCTGACCAACTTTGCTGCAAAAACATGCTGTCAGACGTATTCAATATTGCCATTTCTGCACAATTTAATATTCCCAAATCCTAAATAATTTTAAAATTTTCATCATATTTACGCAACTTCAAAATGTGTTGTCTGTGAGAGCGACTTTTGCTTAGCCATCAGAGGAGGCTGTGATCAAAGAGGCGGTACAAAACCGTTGTGCCAAAACAGATGTCTTTAAGGCGGACGGGCGGGTGGACGAAGGGAGGACGGATAATGCAGACGTGCGATGCTCTCTACAATTTTTGATTCTAGTATTTTGAAATTTTTATATATTGGCACAGAGCGGTTCTATAAAAAGAGTTGCATAATTTATTAATGAGTCCTTCGGATTCAGCTGTAGTAGGAAAATTTACTTTGTGTTTTGGGCCTTTTTTGGTTGGGTAAAAATCAAAGACGAATTCGACCGGGGCTTTACCGTCGCATTATTTCGGATTACTTCCGGTAAATCGTATAATGATGGGCTTGATTTATGGCGGTATAAACGGAAAGATGTTGTTCCTGTTTAGTAAACGAATACCTTTTAATATAAAAATACCCTTATGAATTATTTGGATTGTTTTACGGCCTCTGCATCCACTGTAAGGGTGGCAGTTCTATTAGAAATTAAAAATTTATCCATTTAAACCTTAGTTAAATGTCAAGCTATATTCTCAAAAAACCCAGTATTTGCCCTAATTTTTTTAAAAAAAGGTTAAGAATATTTTTAGCCCATGGAAAATGTGATAACACCGTTTGACATTTGATGGCGATCAAATACTACTTAGATTGACCCTTAAACTTATCAGTAGCTACTAACATATATTCAGTGATAAGAATTACCCTCTTTCTTAAAAATAACTTTTGCTTAATGAATTTGCCCTTGCTTAAAATGACTAACTCGACAAATAGGGTAGGATTTAAAAATGGCAATTTTATACTACATGCTGTCAATTGAGTTTTAACAACAAAGGTGGATTTTTGGTAGAACTTTGCTTTTAGCCAACTCTTGAATCAAAAAAGCGGAAATAGAGCCTTCACTAAAGTGGAACTGAGAAAGAAGAAAGGCTCTATTTTTACAAATTTTATGGCATTACAACTATGGCTAGTGAACGCAGCCTCAATAGAGGTATTCCGTTGGCACACATACGGCTTCAAAGTCTTGTGACTTTAAGTGGGTCCCAACACCACAGATACCAATTAAGAGGTATGAGTTAAGCAATAATCATAGGTGAGTCACTAGCTTAAAGGGGGTTATAAAGTTGAAGTTGATTTTGTATCACTTTCCCGGCAAATCGAGGCCTTTATTAGGGTACTTATCAAAAGCTGACACTAAAACTGCCGCCATTTCAGCAGACAGCTAAAATTTCAAGTAGACGGAGCAGCATAGCCTCTTTCAGGTACACATAGGGCCAGACTGTATGAAAGCCAATGCTGTAAGGCATTTACTTTACTCGCCTACACATCATTTTCCCAATGGCTGAAACAGTGACTATTTTTCTCCAAAGACGTTAAATATGTCCAAGGGAAGTAAAATAAGCCGGTAATTACTGCTTCACAATGGATACCACAGGTAAGCCGATAAGACAGTGGGCTACAATTTCACCGGTCACTAATTCCGTCCATAAAAGTGGTATTTATTAAAAGCGGGGAACAGCCCCAAGGTCTGGAGGTGCGCCGCTTCATCCTCCTTCCCCCTCTCACTGCAAGTTTTGCTCACCCTGATCATGCGAATGGAGCTCACGATGCTGCCTCGCTTCCATCTTATCGATTCTTATAAGGTCAACTGGGGTGAGCAAATTTCGGATAAAATAATCGATAGAAAAATCGACAAGAAGGCATGTATGTAGGTATTTAGGTAGATAGGTGGTCAGGTAAGTCGTTCGGTCAGTTTCGAGGAAGGTGGACAGAATAACCCAAAAATGTGTGGACAGAGAGAAGGAGAGAGATTGAATCGAACTACATAATTTTGTACTTCTACCCAGTACTTGTAGCTCCACTCTGTTAACCTTCTAATATTCAAGCAATTCACGATATGCGCACATTGTTTGGATTTTGTATCTCGGGCAAAAGCAACGAAATACTCAATTAATTATTTTGGCTGCACAGTATTCTTTTATCTGACAGTGCACAAAACCAGCTAGGTGTAATAGTCCCAACGTGATTTCAAAGCTCCATCACACCACTGTCTTCATTACCTCTCCAAGTCATTGGTTGCCATGGCTTACATTTAATAATAGGGAAATTTACCTTATACTACTGCAGTGTCGTGTCGAGGCTTGACACTTTGACATCTCAACTTCATTGGATCACTAGTCCAACCAAATGGGAAAGTGGTTGAGTACAAATTAACAGAATCAAGGCAAATTGGCTGTCATTTCCTGCAGTAAAATGCATTCCGTACTAAGCATCTTCCATGAGTAACTTGTGGATAACTATGCTCAGTAGTATTTCACCTCCCTTTTTCGGCCTAAGTGCAACGGCTATTGCTTTACTCCCGCTGCAAGGTAGTTCCTTAAAGTTGCCCTTTGAGGGTTTTTAATTACTCAAAAGGTCTCATAAATGCTGAGTGATGTAGACCTCCTAGGCAAGTTTGTAGTTCATTGGACAATGGATAATGATTGATTTCATTTGGCTCATATACTACTTTTATGTCATTTAAGGATATTTGTGGAGGTTTAACAAACCAGCTACCAGCGTGAAAAGCTATCTTTTTCTGCATTCTATCCAAATGCAATACAAGAAGCCATACAGAAGACTTCCAGTAGAAACAAATAGGCAGACAGGCAAACAACATCATACAACTTTGGAGAAGTTATTTCAACCAGCTACATCGAACTCCTAGCCGATAACATTAGGGTTGAAGCATAATCATGCTTTCCTTTACTTCTTCCAAGTAACTCACGAAGACATGACGCTTTGAGATTGCCTGCCGACTGTATTCTGACGAGAAGAATGATCAGTGATAAATCTATTCTGAAGGAAAAAGGCGACTCTCACTACTGCTCTCGCTTTTTATCCTCCATGGCTTACATTTTTTTGCATTACTGATTTATCGCTATCATGATGGATACCACAGATAGGTGCAGGCACACCAGTATTTAGCCATATCTCTTGCATATGACTTATTGATACGCTCAAAAAACATTCCTTTTTGAATGTTCAGAAGTTTCCCTTTTGCATCAAATTTCCGGACGTTCTAGAATAACTCAAAATGCTCGTTTTGCTCAAGCCTCCTGACTGACTGTCATCAAGCACAAATAGACCTTAAGGTCAAGGTCGGTCAATATGCACAAAAATGGGGCCACACTGCATCACTGTCAAGCAGCTATCACGAGTCAGCAAATGAAGACATTTTTGTTGAAGTCTTCGTGAGTGCCACTTCATGGCAGGTTTCAAATGTTATGCACATTATTTGTTTATACTTGCAGGTGCTGTTTTAGCCCTTAAAAGTGCTGTCACCTGGACTTCTGAAAGATGTGATATGCCCGAGCCCATTAGGTGCCACAGCTTATAATTCCGCTGAATCATACGCTACCACGGTAGTGCCTATATCCTCTCCAGCCCTTAGCGCATTAATAACAGCGTCAAAAGATAGCCGTTGATATGGTAGGTATGCTGATTAGGAACCCTTTCAATGATGCCCCAACCATGGTTTGATCTTCCTTCCGTCCTGGATTGTGTAGAAGGTAGAGGTAATTCGAAACATTTAAAGCCTCCTCTGAGTGACTTTTTCGCCCCAGGGCTTGAAAACCATAAACAGTGTATGAATGTAGACTGCTGCATCTAGACATCCTGTTTGGGAGCAGGTAGGAGGCATGATGTAAGTCCCTTTGATTCAGAGTACTAAATCAGCATCCCTGATAATACGTTGCGGCTTTATTGTTTTCAAGAGACAAGAGGGATTTTTTAACAGAGGCTAGAAGTTTTTTATTTTGTTAACAAGAAAGAGATGCGGTCAACTCTGTATTCAAAAGGAGAAATTTTTGGTTCTATAAAACACGTAGGGGAAATTACTTAATTATGGATTAAGTAGCATGACTTAAGTTGAAGTAAGGTGCAAAAAAGTAGTTCTACGTGATATTTTCCATATAATTCTAAAACATTTTTGACAAAAGATAGTGTTCGCCAGACACTATATGAAGGCGTGTTCCAAATTGAGGGTAATGAACTAAATAAGTTTGGTTTTTAAAGTAGTGGAAGACATGGTAGTTGTTGATGTTTACTCCGGCTTGGTAACTGCCAATCATTTATGCATTCACCCTGGTCTCTTTTTTGTAAAAGCCTTTCCGCACGTACTCTACACATCCAACTTGACGTGTCGCTTGCGATAATGGAAGAAATTTTAAATAGTCTGCTATTCCTAATCATGTTTTAACTAACCAACGAGATTGTGCAGATTCCAAAATGCCATTCATTTGTCTCCACATTCCAGTGAGCTAGTAAGGCCACTTTGACCTTTACAGGTCATGTCAAACTTTGAGTCAGGAGTTACTAGATTAGGAGGTTGAAAATTAACTTGCAACCCCGTGAAAAGTCTTGTCTGAGTTTTTTGGGTGCCTTGTATTCGTGCCCAAGTCCCAAGCATTCTAAAATGTCTCGAAACTTGGCACCTGATTTGCTAACATCACATGCGGCCTGACCTGTAAGGCCATGGTCAATCAAAGTGCTATACTTGGGCAAGAGTGAAGCCACCGCGGGACCCCACGTAGTCAACTCGCAGACGCAGATTCAGATTTGTCGACAGCGAAGATCACCGTATTGAAGTCTTTTTATGCACTTTCCGATTGAAAACTCGATAGACTGCTTGCTCATATCCATGATCAACAGTTTATAGCAGACAGACCATCATTGCGCTTAGTATCAGCGACACATATATGTGACGTGTGATCTCTATTGGGTTACAATGAATCGCCCTAGTCTGAAGACCACTGCACATGGTAACTTTTGAACAGAACGCTCTTTTGCTCGTTGAGCCAGAAGTTAAGCTTCTTGAACTAGCATACCAAAAAAATTTTCCACTCTGAGCTTCCCCTCTGGTTTAAGGTGTCCTTGGTTGTGGTTACAATGAATTAATAAAGCCGAAAGGACTCACGCTTCGATCATAATAAAAATCAGTTTAGCATATGCTGACAACAATCAGACTGTAAAATTACAAACACAACTAAAGACTCCACAATCCCATTTGATGGAAGGCAAATTACGATTTGACAGGATGCACAACCCACTTGACCAGTTTGCAGCTAATTTGACGATCGCCAGACGCGCCAAAGAAGTGCGCGAATAATCCTTTTTGCGTTGAGTCTTCCAGTGGGAAAAATACTGCATCCCCTCGACAAAAGTGTCCATGCCCCATTTTCCAGCCTTGTCCATCTTCCAGTTTTGTTTCATTTTGTATTTAAATTTTGCTACAGAAAGTAGCAAAATAAAGCAAAGAGGAGTAAAATGAGAAACTAGAAAAAAAGGGGAGAAAATAAAGCCCATTAAACCGTCTTTTATGATGAAAAACACCGCATCCTGTTTTAATTGCCGTCGCGGGTAAAGTGATTTAAAAAGGAAATTACCAAATATTTGTAGTTCCTAATGTGCTGGGTATTAGTTTTATGACCTCAAAAAGCAAATTTTATATGAGGCCAAATTGGCTTTGGTCTAGGTCGGGGGTAGTGAACGCATGTCTGCTGAATTTTACGCAAACCATAAAATTAATTCCCATTGAAGGAAAAATTTACAATATTAAATGATATTACAACCATTGTTTACGAGTAAGCCTCCTAATTCTTCTCCTAGGCCGTAATAATGTATGCTGTTATATAAAATCTTTAATACTGGTGCTTAGAGAAGCTGCAAGGGGATGGAGGGCTGTAGGCATGGCCGAAGGGCCATGAAGCTAAAACAGATGTACAACCTATGGCGAAGGAAGAGCACGCATAAATAAATATACAGTTCATAACGCAGCCGCCTCCTTTTGGACGTCTTTGCTTATATTCCCAGTGGTTATAATTCCCGCTGGTGGGGTACAAAATGATTGTGATTCATGGAAGTCAAGTTTCCTGGCAGGAGAGGTGTATAAGGACTAGGGGATGTCCCACAGACAGCATATACCGTAAACTAATGGCTGTTTATAAAAATCTCTGCCATAGTCATGTGAAGTTAAGGTCTGGTAATCAACGAAAGAAATCAGGAGAATTGTAGCCTTCCCTGAACCCAGGGCTGGAAGGCTATACGGATGCATAAAGAGCCATTTTTACCAGGCAAAAGTGGAAGTCTGAAAGGTCGGCATTTTTATATATACCCTGAAACTTATGCGTTTTTAGGGTAGAGTGATTAAGAAAGTGATAAGTTGAACTATTCTGCATTCTTGAATATCACATAGAAAAGTGAAGACCATGAGCTACCCAAAGGATCGGTAAACCCCCACTTTTGGCAACACATTGAACTTTCAGTTTGGCTACCTTGAGGTCCTCATGGGGAGGCAGAAGTCTCTGCCCTGCCGAGACGGTACAGAAGGTGGTGTTCATGCACTGCGCGGAGGAGGTCAGTTGTACGAAGCTTGACAACTGAGTAACGGTGCTGAAATGTCATTGGTAGAAGATCGGGCCAATCAAAAACCAGTTGCATTGATCAAAGTGGCTTTCCCTACAATGTTGTTCCCGTAAACCCAACATATACCACTCATTTGGATTAATAGGCACACAAAAATGACACGAATCTGGAAGAAGGGAACGGATAAACATCATGGTTTAACAGATAGACGCATAAAATTTATTGAATGTACTAGTCTGCTAGCTAAATCCAGCCAAGCCTTGAGGATAACTAAATGGGCTCATTGTTAGGTTAATACGGTTCTTCGAATGTATTTTTTAAGTAGAACCGTCCACAGTCCTAAAACACTCCACCAAGTGGTGATGGTTTATAAGTGAAACGAAATAATGAAGTTGGAAATGATTTATTCAAACAGGCAAAGCTACACCTTACAAATATTTACCACAAACTCTTACATTAACGGCTCAAAAGACTTCTGGGATATACATTTATTCTGTACTAAAAGATGTCATTTCTTGTTGCAATCAGAATCGAGGGGAAAGCTAACCACCACGGACTGGAACCTTAATTACCCTGGTAATAGCACGATCTGTCATTAATTTTTTGATAGATTTACCTTTTAATGAAAAATTAGAAGAAATGATGAATTAACTTAAATATTTCAGGAAAATCTGCGTCACTTTGGTTAGTTAAGAACGTTAGGTAAATGAGAAAGTAAATTACCACATCATCTTATCCCAACTTCTTCGATTGAGCTACACCTCTTTACTAATAGATTCCACATGTAAAAGACATTTTAGGAGCACAATTATTAACTATGATGTTCAAGGTGCCCTCATTTGGAAGTCTAGTGTCAGGTTTGGGTGAAAAAATGCCTGCCAATCGACTATCTCTACTGCAAATGCGTGGCCTTCCCACCTAAATCCGAGCATTAAAGATAGGCTATGTGTGTTTTACACTAAATCAGATCTAAAGCAGATTAAGTGAATTCGTGGCGCTTTTTTCTCCCAATCTGTAGACAATTACACCTTCTTGCTTCATTTATGAGCAAGATTTAGATTAGTTAGAAAAACAGAAAAAATTGATGACAAGATGTGTTATAATTAAAGGAGTAAAAACGCAAGACCCCTGGGAAATTGCGGTCTGTCTTCCCTCCGGTGTGAAACTCTGGCGGCTAAAAAAAAGAATTAACTTTGAGATTCCAAAACCTCCTTTCCATTGGTCTAGCCTCCGCATCAGGCTGTATATTAACAAAGGTAACTCAATTAGATTAATAGAAGGCGGGCTTGCTGGTTGCCAAAAGGGCAGATGAAGGAGGAAGAATGATCAACGAGTAGGACCGCCTTCATAAAAGGAGGTTTTTAGGATTTGGAGGCTTGGATTGGATTAATCAACTCATCCACTTAAAGCTCCAGCAAATTGTGTCAAGTCAAGAAGTCCATTAAAATAGTCCAATACTTCTAGCACTTTTATGCAAGAATTTTCCATTTATTGCAATTTCTGCATCATTAAAAATCACTGTGAATAAAAGACAATTTAATCCATCTATAAGAGTACAACTGAGAGGGTGTTTTAAAGAGACTTGTGTGTCTACCTTGGGTCTATAAAAATAGCAAGATTTTGGCCTTTAGACCTTAAAATCACTTCTTGGTATATTTAGACCTAAGGCAGCAAGGCAGTAGCTGGTCAGGCAAGATAATGCTACGACTTTTTACAACAGGCAGTCCAATATACTGTACTCCACTTTTCTACTTTGCATGTCAGTGCTTAGTGCCCTAGAATGAGCGTGTAAACTAATGAAGAAATATCATCAAAGGAGTATAGTCGAAGAAGATAAGAATGGAGAGTCCCCTCTCTTTTCAAGGTATAAATCCTCTCCCAGCTAATTTTTTTGGTATTTAGTAAGTAGTTAGTTCGTGCATTATTTTAAAAAAATTGGAAATTTTTCATAATTTCCCAAGAAAAAGGAGTTTATCCTCAGGATTGATTTACGCCTTATCGGGTAGTCGGATCCCTGCCATGGTCGGCGTTTAGACTTTATTAGGCGAAATATCCCACCTGCAGTTAACTGCATGCATAAACATAAAACGCTTTCCTCTCAAAAGATCGTGATGCCCGCCTTGGAAGTGGGGGGATGAGGAGGGGGAGGAATGACTGGATCGGTTGCTAGTTCACTTAAAGAACATCGCAATGCAGTGGCGTTTCTGATCAAAAGAGTCAGTAAACAAATGAGCTATTTCTTATAAACACGTAAAAAAGGTGAATGAACCAGTAGTGCCTCAAACTCATCGTTGGTTGGCTAAAGGGTGCAACATTCACACTTGTTGATGCAATAGCAACGCGCAAGTACTCCCTGTAAAAAAAACAGAAGGTCATCCTTAAACTGATGCATCTTGTACCGCCGAAGTCAAAGAGTTGTTAATCATCCTCGAATAAAACGATGTGCCGCCACACCTTTCCCGAATGATAAACAAGAAGTCATAAGAGAGGATTCTGAAACTTTGCAACCGAAATAATCGCGATTCGTGCCTTAGCAACCTGATGTTTTGTTTAGCTACACAGGCATTCCAGTCCGCGGTGGTGCCTTTAAGGCGCACTAGTACCCTCCCAGCTCCTCTTCACTTTAGTAAGTAGTGAATGGGCTACATTAAATGGTATCAATAAATTGATGTACTTCTTTGCCTTTTAATTTACGTAAAAGGATTTCGAAAAACTGGTTTTCTCTTCTCTCGAAAAAGCATTTCGATAGTAGTTGTGATAGTCTAACTGTAGAATCAAGAATTAGACTTAAAGTAAAGTGAAGAATAACAAAAAGCCATTTATGTGATTACGTGGACGTCCGATCTTTTGCAGGTTCTCTCACGATCTTTGAGACGTAGCCGCCTCTTACCACCTAAACCCTCCTAACCCATCTGTGAGCTAGTAATTAATCATTCTTCTATGTTTGAATGCTGTTTTAGGACTTCAATTATGTCCTCTCCAACATCATGGCCTTACGGAGTAGCCGACCTCTACAACTCAGCTGCGTTATTGTTTTAGCCTGACGCCTAATTAATTAATTTCCTGGTTAATTTAACGACCGGCTAATTGTTATAGGCAAACTGCTAAAGAACCCCCGTCACGCATGTGTGACAGCTAAAACTAATGTCTGTAAGCCTCTAACCAGACCAATTCAATCAAAAGAAAGGTTAGAAATCAAATCAAACTAAAGCCTACAAGATATGCACTAATATTTCGCAAATTATTTTCTTTGAACACATTTTCATTTCAAGCATTTAGATGGATCTGGCATAATTATGCGTTTACAACAAGTCTTAAGAGTTTTTTGAAATACTTATTTATCTGAAATCCTAAAAAGTTACAAACTAATGTACCGCTTTTTTATTCATCAAATTTTACAAAAACACAATGCTGGCAGCTGTCTAATAAATTACTTTTTGATGACACCGAAGAGAATATTCAAAAAAATGCACTTGAGTGAATGTATAAAATGCCAGTGGGGTGTAATCTCCCAAATTTTAGTTTCATTTCTCTCCTTCGAGAAAAAAATGGAAAAAATTCTAGTGCACAATCAAAAGCATTTCAAACGACTTCAGATGGGGCCCATTTGAGAACTTATTAATGGCGATGGACAAATTGTCACCGCTTTGCTCTTTGGCTGATTTCGAAGACCAATTCAATCAAACCAAAGTGATTACAGAACTTAAATTAAAATGGAGAATGAAAAACACGGATATTGGCTGCTTTTTTGTTTTGGTGGGGTAAAACCCTTTGAGGGTCCGTTGCACATGAAAATTTCTACTCTACTGGGTAAGGTACCGCAATGGAGAAAATCCAAACTGTGGTATCAAAATGCACGCTTTTTAAACCTTGCTAAAAAAATGGAAAGTGGGCTATTTCTAAGTGTATCAAAACACTGAGGGACGTTTATTTTTAGTCAAAAAAGAACGGCGAGGAATTGAATCGGAAGTAAGAGAAGGAAGAGGCTAGGCTGTTTGGCATATTAACAAATTACTTCAAAGCAAGCAAAATAATTAGCCAAATTGTTTAAATTTTTATTCAGAATGGCTCTGATTGTTTTTTTTTGTCAAAGAAATTCATTAAACGCCTTAACGGCGTGGGCATTATCAAGTTTGCTACCACCGTCACAAATATGCGTCGTCGTGATTTTTCTGCCTCACCGCAAGCCATGTGTTTCTAGTTGGTTTATGCTAACTGGGACTAAATGTAGCAAATATTTTTAACGTACGAGTTACAAGAGAAGTACTCTGTTTATTATCCTGCGTTACATATGTATGACAGTTGGTATAACTTCTTCGGTATTTACTTCGAATGTTATGAGTACATCCCATAAAAAGCGGTGCGAAATAAGGTGACGTTGTGGTCGGATTTCCTCTGAGTACCTAGTAGTGAATCAGCGAATAACTTATTTACATAACTTTAGTCCCTACAAATGGTTATCACGAAGCTGCTTTGAAATTCATTCCCTTTATAGTTTTACCATAACTGCCTTCGGTGCTCCAGAGTCGGTATCTAAAATAATTTACGCCGCAGTCTATTGGTTCACCCCTACATGCCTTGTAGTAAGTATCTACAGTCTTCCAAGTCTCCTCCGAAGCCGTAACAAGCCATTTCGATCCTTAATAGCATGGAGAAGCCTTGCGTGGATATAGGATTTGGGAAGAGTGGGAAGCCCGCGTAGTGTAAACACGACATTAAAATGGTGCAAACCTAGGTGACCCCGGATTATCCAACGTCAAAAGACGCAAATTTAGTTTTGCAGAACCCTAAAATTACAGCTCAAAGTAACAATGCAATATAGAGCTCATGAATGTTTAGCCGATAAATGCAAAGTACGTTGATGTGACAGGTTTGACAGGTGAATTTAATCAATACAAATGAGCGAGTAAATGGACTAAAAGTATTTATTTAAAAATGCAAGTATTATTCCTTTTTACTCAGTTTCTTTTCTTTCGTTCTTTTCATTATTTGTAATCATACTGCTGCTGACCGCTCAATTGGACTCATCATTTTCGCCTCAGGGAGGTTGGCTTATCCACGTGGCTGCTACCATTTTCTGCCTCCTTTTTATCATTAATACATGATTAAAACGCTACGACCAGTACAATAGACACAATTTCCTACCTGGAGTGCTTTGTTCTCCCAATCTCGTGGTGTCTTCCTGAGGTTGTGAGAATAAGCCACTGCTCCAAAGCCATCTGATCGCCCAGACTGATTTAGCAAATTTATTAGGGGAATAATTTATTATCAGTGCAAGGCAGGGCTAGGTGTGGATGGATTTTTAAGCCGCCGTCCATCTTTCCCAACTTCGTAATAGATGCTTAATGAATCACAGGTATTTGTGATGACTTCCGACTTATTTGATGCCTCTCATCTACACTTTTTCTCCTCCTTAGGAGAATTTTCCGACTCCATCCTACTCAAAGTGAGGAAGATGCTCTGCATCGAAGGGATGGAATTCATAAGCCGATCTCTGCTTGGAGAAATACTTGAACAAAAGAGGAGCCAATTCGCAGAAACGCACAATCTAATGCAACTTCACAGAAATAGTGTTCGACATTTATTTTTTTGTCCTCATTTCCAGTGCATTTCACTAAGGCCGATAAAACTACTTATAACAGTTTAACTGCCTAAGAGAGAGACCATCATCTGGCGTTGCAGTAACCTATGCGCGAGTGTCTGAATGCGGCTTCTTTAGCACACCGAAGCTCAAAAAGACAAAAATGAGCAACAAATTTGTTGAAAAACTATGAAAGGCACTCTGTTTGCTTCTAAACTTTCCGCTAATTAATTGCATCACATTTAGAACATAGCTGCTCATAAGTCTTTTCTTGGGAATAGCTGAAAAGATTTTTCCTAAAAAGAAAAAAATAGTTCCAACTAGGTCTATTCTATTCGACTTTTATTTCTTTTTCGACTATCTATTCTACTTTGCACATTTCTTAGTAGTATTAACCAATAATAATAGCAGATAATTATAATTATTTCTTCGCCATCCGAAGGTGGGACCCTTTTCACGAAACGAAAAGTGGTATTGGACTCTCGGGTTGGCTCTGGCAAGGAGGACCTTTTTTCCGACTGACTCGCTAGTCCAGTTTTCCTCGCACTTTTGAGTCGCCCTGTACTGAATGTAAAGATCTTAACCGCAGTTGGCGTGCCCGAGACGAAAGAAAAATCGGTTAAACAGAGTTCGGTCTTTTGAAGATGGAGTGGTGCCTGTCATTAGGGGTGAAATTGGTGAGACGGATCGTTCCCAGATAAGCCCGTTTGCTTGCAGTTCAATTATACAAAACTAATTTCACCTCACAAGTTATTCAGTAAATATGCAATACTAAGAATGGAGGTTGCATTTGCCTCCGAGTGATTCACCACCAAAGCTACTTTTTTATACCCATTTCTGCTCGTTGCTTTCTCCAACCGCATCTCAGTCAAAAGCTACACAAATTTGACAAAAATTTCCATTTTTATTGCAGCTGACTTGGACCCGGTTAGTAATGGAGACAAGCTAACTTATGTCCTTCATTTTCACCCGTCCATTCATGATATGCGTGTTTGGAATAACAGGGAAGTAGAGGAGGGCACATTCAAAATAATTCCACCTCCCATGATACACACGCACACTTGCATGTGTTTTTAAATAAGGCATCAGCTATGATCAACTTAAACATTTTTAATTAAAAACGCCGGAATATTCCAAAACTACTTTAGAAAGTCCATCATTTTTTTAGAAATCGGATACTAAGTGTTCATTCGTGCACCGCTGTCTTTTAAATTACTTTGTTTAAGCGAGCAAAAGAACAAACCCCTTATGTAAAATTAATTTACTTAAACTACGTTCAGAACTGCGTGAAATTTAGGCATTAATAACACATTGTGCGTCTTGTTAGAGCACCAGAAAGTAGCGACTATAGCTAATAAATGGGCTATCGTGCACCTAGCCAGAACACTTCACGAATCAAAGGGGAAGAGGAAATCAAATGAACCAACAGATTTCTGCATTTTAAAATCAGCTCGTTTGATGAGTTTAATTAAGAAATAAAAGAAATTACCAATTATGGGTTTTTTTCAAGCGAAACATGTAGGAACTAAATTACCTTTTTTCGGGATACAAAAGTGCGACTTGTTTTAAGGAGAGGTGGTGGAAGTCTTGCATTGCCACGATTACTACCAGCGGCTCATATAGATACGGCTTCTATTATGTCTTAACAACTGCTTCTTAATAGTTTTTAGGTACAAAAGTTAAATTTGAATACATAAACCAACGAACTAGGATGCTCGGTCTTCCTCTGAGACCGGGATAACAAACGTCTTGAAGCGTGATGTTCGTCCCATCAAAAAGTGGCAGCATTTGATAGAGACTATAACAAAATAGATTTTTTCTCATCTCTGCAGCATGATCGGCTTGTTATGCTCCCAAAGAACAATCTGTTACGGTTGAAGATTGTTTTTGGGCCAAGAAGCAAGAGGTCTTGTATATTACATTGTTGGACCCATTTTTCAACGAATGACGATCATGCCAACAGATCCTTTTTAATTGACGAGCTAGTGACTACCCAATTTCTCCCTCCATGTCCTCTGTCACAACTACGTGATGTGCAGTCTCAATCAATTTGTATTACGGGCATCCACTATATCGTGTAATGCGGGAAAATTAGTTGAGTTTATACGAGCAGATGAAGTTAGTTTTTGGGCCATAAGGTCGTCATTTTTACTACCATTTTCTTTAAGTGTATTCTCGGCCGATCGGAGTCCCTCCATTGCTCAAAAGTTTTTGTAGTGTTACAAGGAAATTTACTTGACTAATTGTACTTCTTCAGCTTCCAGTAGAATATAGCATGAGTAGTAAAACTATTCTTTC